ACGATGGAACGCTCAAAGTATGAATTAGAATTTGAAGGAATTTAATCAAATTCATTATGGGGTCAAATTAATGATTATTTGATATGTTATCTCGAAGTAACCTACATGAAATCGCGTATAAATGCGAAGGTCCGTACACGCGTTGCTGCACCGCACGTTGGGCTCCTCCAATGCGACAGAACGCTCAAACTATGAATAATAATTTGAAGGAATTTAACAAAATAAATGATGCGGTGAAATTAATGACTATTTGATATTAAAACCACATAACTATTTGATACTAATCTCGCCTAACTAAAAGTTTTCCAAATGCGTTTCGCGGCAGACAATTTGGCTTGAATCTGTTTGAAAGAACTGCGCTTCGTCCATATCGCAACGTCTTGTAAATCGCCTTTTATTTCGTACTCTACGCTATATTTCCACTACATTAACGTGGGTAAACTGTGCATCCCCCAATTTCGCGTTCATTGGGTCAACCATCGTCTCCGATTTGCAACCAATTAGTTCCGCGCGCCGTTCCCCGTGGTATGCAAATTCCTCGGCCGTAGGGCGCACTTTCTTTCCGACGCCAATTAGGGGAAAGAAAATTTCAACGAAAGCGAAGGGTATGAGAATTACGGGGAAAAAAGGGGGAGAAGAAGCGCTTAATGAGCGGGTTCTTTAGAGTCTTATCGGAGGAAGGCAGGCAAAGGGAACCCACCTTGGGAGGCATTTAGCCGCTTAGTTCCGGCGGACGTTGCACCTGCAGGATCGATCGTAATGTCGGTTTCGGAAGAGCCCGGAAGAGTTCCCTCCGGGGAGGGAAGGGTGAGGAGGGGTGGCGGGCGGGGGGCGACGCGCGCTTTTTCGCGCGAAAGAAAGCCGGGAAAGTCGCAACGGGAGGAAACGCAAAGGCCCCCCCCCCAAAAGGCGGGGAAGGTGCAAAATGATTTCGTACTTCTCGCTCGGCCGGCGAGAGAACGCCCCGCGTAGGCACCCATTGTCCTACGTGCATTACGTAAATGAGGCTGGCCATTGTGGCCATTGTGAGCGATTCGCCCGAGTCGTCTTGTCCTTCCGCTTCCAATCGGCGCGCAAAGGGAAAAGCGCTTCTTTGCCCCGCGACCGGCGACCGGGTCCGCTCGCCGGGAAATTTTCCCGAAAGCGCGAAACGCGAGGAACGAGACAGAACCAGGAGACGTTACGGCTACTACGATTATGGCGACCTTCGCGACAATTTCCTCCAAGTGGCTCCCTATTTCGCGCGACCGGCGACCGGGTTCTCTCGCCGGGAAATTTCCCCGAAAGCGCGAAACGTGAAACACGAGAAACGAGAAAGAACCGGGAGACGCGACGGCGACTACGATCGTTGCGACCTTCGCGACAATTTCCTCTATGCGGTTCCCTATTTTACCGGTTTACCAATTCCTTGCAGACAATATCATTCATTTCGAACTCCTACGAGATTATTCGGAATTCATTTTGAACGCTTTGAAATTCATCTTGAACTCCGTCAATTCATTGTCCATTTGAGACATGACGAAAGTCGTGTCTGTATTAAACCAATTGTCTAAAATCAAGTACTTGTTACAACAAATATCGTACGCACCAAAGGAGAGGAAAGTTCTTACAACTCATGTTCTTTTTTTTTTCCCAAGTATTCGTCCCCTTCGTTCGTGCCGAAAAATCATCCTCACTCCGAAAAGTCCCTTTTCTCCCTCAGGGCATACCATTATCTAATTTCTTTTTACAATAAATACATATCTCGCCAATGGCGACGAGAAGGACAACAAGACACAGTTCAAGACCTACGGTCTAAAAGACATTAAAGATTACGGTACGTAAAATCTAATTTCTTTTTACAATAAATACATATCTCGCCAACGACTCGAGGAGGAGAACAAGACGCATTTCAAGACCTACGGTCTAAGAGACATTAATGATTGCGGAACGTAAAATCGAAGTCCCATTGACGCGCCGTGCCCTGTCCGACACCCTCTCGGAGGATCCTGGCGCGTCCACCCGGAGATGCAAATCGATTCGTCGAGGAGTGACGACCGACCCGGGGGGAAACGGATCGATGAAGTCACCTGCCGTTTCCGACTGCTCCCCCTCGCCTCTTTCTTTCGGTCTTTCTCCGCCCTCGTCCTCGATGCCGTCCCATTGTTTTGCCCAAGGTGCGAGACGCTCGACCTAACCTAACCCGGCGCACCGCGGCGGCGTGCCCTGTTCCACGCGGCTGCCCGGGGCCCGACCACTTTCGCCGGCGAATGCCTCGCGACTGCCGATGTGTCCCCGCGATCCATGATCCAAGCCGAGAGATCTCGTCCGACCCATCCGATGTATATAAAACTGAAATTGCCACTTTAGCACAATTCAATAAAATTCGTTGCAAAATTTATTGCTAATTCATTGCTATTTTCAGTTTAAGAAAAAAAAAAAGAAACAGTCCAACTTTCATGAGTTTCAGGACCTTCCCTACGCCCTTCATGTCGATCCTGTAAAGTTCGAATCGATTCAATGGCCCCCAATTTCGAGACAAGTTTCCATCGACGCGACTTTCACGTCGCCTCAAGCCACATATCTCATTAAGTTAAGAATTAATTTCTCCACCTGGGAGCTTTGCTTCACTTTCCGAGATATCTCTCTCCACGGCAGGAGGCATAAGGGGATGTGAAAGTCGCATCCGAAAGCTCAATCGTTCATAAAACTTTTCTACCTCCTGGGTGTCTCAAGTCGTTTCATATTTTAAAACGTGAATATGGAGACCCTAAGGTAGGTCCTGAAACTCGGGAAATTTCATTTTTTATATACTATTATGAGAAATACCTATAAACAAATTTGAAAAGAATTGAANTCGGGAAATTTCATTTTTTATATACTATTTTTAAAATACCTATAAACAAATTCGAAAAGAATTGAAATTTCATGAGTTTCAGGGCCTTCTTTGTATGCTCCCTATTCACGTTGCAGTTTCAAACTATTCGGTAAATCGAGGTGGGAGAAAAGTTTTATAAACAAAGTCTCTTCGATGCCACTATCACATCACCATAAGGACGGTCTCGAGGAATCGAAGGGAAGAACTCGAAAAAGATCTCGTTCGCGTAGCAGCGAGCCACCTCTAAGGCGGTTCCGGAGCAAAGATGTAAAGAGCCTTTTAGGTCCAGTGAAACGGGTATTCCCGGCTAGATAGTGCTTGCCGGTATCCTCTTTTTTAAGCCCGCGTAATGGCCACTATCCACTCCACTCCAACCTGAGTTTACTTTATCGAAGGACTTTCCGGGCCCGACCTTCGAGGGTCTTTCGTATCGCCCTCTACAAATGCGCTTTTCGGGTAAACTCGCGAAGGGTCCCTTGCTTCCAGCGTGAAGTAAGTATCCTTTCGTATCGTATCCTATCCTATCCTATCGTATCCAAGTTCCGACGAGAAGTCATCTTTCGCGTGTCCCGAAAACACGTTTCGGACCCCTCTCACTTACCGGCTACGCGTACACGCGTACACGTGTACACGCGCCTCGCTCTTGCGTTCCTTACAACGACGCCGGTAGTAAAAGAACCTCCAGTATGTAAATAGAGTTCCTAGAGAAATAAATTACGAACCAGTTCGTTCCTCTCGACGGAATACAGGACTTCTAGCGGAATATCCTGTTGCAACGTCTTACGGCGAAACTTTCGCTAATCGCTGGTATATCTTTTCGGGGCCCTCGAAACGCGACTTTTTATTTTTTTTTTTTTATCGAACCAGAGTTTTGTCTCCATATTCGGGATTTTAGGGTCGACGCCTCGAATGATTCGACTCGAGTCGTTTCGTTTGTAACTCGAGTCATCGGGACGAACGACCGTGAGTCATGAATACGAGAGCGAAACCAAGTTACTTATTCCTATCGAGATATTGCATTGTTCCAGAAATTCGTGGACAAATTTGTAAAGGCTCAAAGATGTGTTTTCTTTTTTCTTTGCCAATGAAACGAGCCGCGTATTAATTAGCTCTTTGCACTAAAATGACGAGTTAGACTGGTCATGAGGTTTTAATGGCCATTATTTTATGCAGGAGCTAACTCAAATTAAATGGTGCTTTATAGTAAAATTTCTCATAATTAAATCGAAGCGCAAGGAGTTAAGGCGATATGGAAGTGTCCAACATACCAAATAACAACCAAACAATAATACATACCAAGTCGAAATATTTATAAAACTTTTCTCCAAATTGGGCGTACCGAATCATTTGGAACTTCACCACGAGATTATGGAGGCCCTGAGGAAGAACGCGATGCTCGTGAAATTTCTTTTGAAAAAAAAAAAAAAAAGTATATTTATGTCGGGGAAAAGATATGTCCGCGAATTTATAGAATGATCCAATACCAATCGCCCTATTAGTCTATCGGAGTATTTTTACTGGCCAACTCGCCGAATGCGCGCGACCTCCCCCGAGTCGTCAACTCGAGTCTGAACACGATTTGGCAACGTTACCGAATTCGAGTAACTAAAGTCGAAGAATCGTTCGACTCGAGCGTATCATTTCCAAAGAAAATTCACCGGGAAAAAATATGTCCGCGAGTTTATAGAATAATCCAATACCAATCGCGCCATTAGTCTATCGGAGTATTTTTACTCGTCACCTCGCCGAATGCGCGCGACCTCCCCCGAGTCCGAACACGATTTGGCAACGTTACCGAATTCGAGTAACTAGAGTCGACGAAACGTTCGACTCGATCGAGAGAAGGCGAATTATCCTGCAAAGCGTCCGAGGAATCTCGGCCCCCGGCGTTGACGGGCTTCTTCCGGCGGGAGGACTTGGGTTCCTCCCGGAGCACGCGTGAAACAGGTATTCGCGGGTAAGCGGGCTCATCGGCGCGCCGCGGCTCTTAACGGAGCGAGAATGCCGCTCGACGCCGGGGCGGGGAGAGGCTCGAAAAGGCCGCCGAGGAATGTCCCGCGTCGCGCGCGCGCTACGAATGTATCTCCGAGAAATCTCTCCGAGTCAGGTGTTCTCCTCGGCGTAGGAAGAACCGTTAACTTACCGCCAAGATGCAGGGGCGTCCCGGGTTCCCGTAGCGCGCGCGCCCGAGTTTCGAACTCGCGCCGCTCTCCCGCTACTCCTCGTAATCCACGCACAGCAGTTGCACTCACTCGCGGAACTCGGGCCCGACGCGCCCAACTCGACGTCGCAACGTGCGACGGGACCGTCACGGCGCAAAACCGTAGGTTCGAACTCCGACGAAACGACTCGCGTGGCTACCGGTTGCCGACTCCGCTCGGTTCCGACGCTCGCCGCGTCTCCTGCCTTTGCGAATCCGCCGCCTCCCCCTCCCCGCCGCCCCGGCGCGCGCGTCGCGCCATCTCTCGGACTCCGCCCCAAACTACTACCGAGTACCCTTCTCTCGAATCAAACCTCAATGGAGAACTTTACTTTCGGACGCGTATGCGCCCGCTATCAAAGAACTTTGTTAAATCTTTTGCCTCCTCTGAACGCCGTAGGATGGCGCTGCTCTTTTTCGTGAAGCCGTTTCGCGATGCTACCATGATTAGATCACGGTTCATGCTCATTAAATGATGCATCTGATCGCTTTAACCGCGATTGTTAATTCTCATTGATTATTACTGCGAAAATGAAGATGAATACGTAAAGGCAAAGAAATTTAAGAAGTTTCTTAATTTTTCTTTAGAAATTCACACTTTATGTCGTGAAATACGTCGTTTTATCCTACGTGTGTATATTTAAATTGGCCGATTTTGTCTTTATTTATAACGGTTTGCTCCATATCTGTTTTACTTTCCATTCTTGACAGTTGCCTTCTTGCATGTTAGTCGATATAAATGCTCCAGACCACAACTTTAACGTATCTTCGATAGAAAAATATAACCAGCTGCATTTTTTCACGTCAAAACTTTTTACTCAAGGCATTAATCTCGACGATCGCCGAGATGCTGAAAGAGCTTTATAATCTTTTTTATTTCTTATTTCACTTACCCCAGAGCTAATGGCTTGAAACGCCTTCTTACAAATGCTGATTTCATATTTTGCTTCTTTATTCCCATTCTTCGACAAGCTGGCAGTTTTTTTGGTGCAACAGCTGTTTCAATACAGAAGTACGTAACTCTGTAAAATGGGTATGAAGGTATTGGTAGTCAAACAAGAGACGAACCGATATTTCAAAAGATAAATAGTCCTTGCATCGTCTCATCTCTTATTAATCCTACTTATTCGTTACCTTATCATCGCATAAAACCTGTTCTGCGTTATTAAAGATTGGACTATTCAGACCGAAAAAAAATGAGTTATGTAAAATAATTTTTAAATTCGTTAAAGATGCAAGTACCATACAAAATATGAAAATTTTATTAAATACACACGGTTTCTCTATATCATGTATTTCGTTTTATTTGACTGTCACCATTTTCTGTATTAACTTCTTTGCGTAATTCGTAAATCTGGAAAGAAACAAAAACATTAATAAAAAAAAATTAATCAATTTCAAGTAAAAATGCGAGAAAGTAGTTTTCACCTGGATGTAAGCTTCTGTTAGTGTTATCATTTGCGGTAAGATCTGAGTTACGTGAAGGTCCTGTAATTCGTACCATTGACCGGTTGCCCGATGCAATATATGTACTCTGTAAGTACCCTGACCAGGTTCCCCATCATGAACGATATTTGCTACCAAATCGTAAGTTGTATAAGTATGACGTGCTTTTACTTCAGGCGTTAAAATATCGCCAAAGTCCACATTCCTGGAAGGAAGAAAGAATTAATAATTGATTCTATTTTAAGAAACGTATACAAAGTGACATATATTGCAACATGTTGTAAGCTTATGAAAATGTACAGATTACTAACTTGACTGGGAAATTGACAATGGTGGGATTTTTCTCCACGAAAAATGTATTTCTTGTGAACCGCTGTAAATAGTAAACCATTATTGAATAGTACTTAATAATAGAACTAATGATAATTATTTATTTACTAAAGTTATAGAGATTTTTACAGACCTTTATGTACAGAATAAGATAGGGTGGTAACTCGGTTATTTCAAATCTTTTCATAAAATTTTCTTTGTACGTTTTGTATTCTTTCTCTGTCACTGCATTAAATTTATTTAGTAATGTATACAAATTCACCTATGAAAGTAAATTGAATAAATTTTATGTTAAAAAAATTATTGGTTTTAATATTAACTAACTTGTCATACTAACTTGTGGAATAATGTTTTCAGTAAACTGGTCCTTAAACAATGGTGGAGGTGGAAGATCACATGTTAGGTAGAGAAATGGGCTCTCCGTTACCGTTTCTCCATATTCAACAGTGTTAAGCAATTCGCTTCTTTGACTCTCTTCTAATTCAAGAGGTGGGATTTTGCGAGTGTAAATTCGCATATGTCCCAGAAATGTCTTATAAATAATACTAGAATCACGTTTCTTTGTGCCATTTAGTGCCAAGTGAAGGGCATTTAAAAACCATGATAAAAAGTCCACAGGATCTCCTATGTTATAATGTACTCTTATTTAAATATTTTGTCATTTGTAAATTAAAAGTACATACCTTGCTCCGTAAATTGAAATCTTTTTTTACTCCACAAGACAACCGCTTGTAGCATTTCGTGAGGACTGACATGTGCTTTGAAATTTCGAGGATTCCACAATTTCCTCATTAATTCCCCGAATCTTTGTACTAAGAGATACGATGAATCACCTGGTGGTCTCTTTACGTGTAAGTAATTTGATTCACGTAAAAAGAAATCTCTCAGTGGGGTAACATGGGACAAACCCTATAAATAAAACTCTTAGTTACAGAAATTTAAATGAATAGGGGTACATAAAGATTATACTTAAAGTGGACTTCTTACTTGCAAGACAACGTTACAATAATCATTAGCTTTGATGTTATTCATGCCTACAATCCCAGGAGAATACATAGATCCATCGATTGCTCTGGACAATTTATCACTTTTATCTAATTGTGCAATTTGTGCTTTGTCAAATGTTGGATTTAAAACGTATTTGATGTCATCCAGGGACGAATCTAAGTGAATAAAAACATTTATTTATATATTTTTCTTGTTTATATTGACGTTACACACTTACCCACAATCTCATAGTTGTCTGGTAGGCAGTAAAACTTTAAAGTGTGAAGATTTAAAAAAACATGATGGCTTTCCGCTACACTATGTGTATATGCATGTGTATTTGTTCCTCTTCCTTGGAAATATTTACCACAAACTAGGCAGGCATAGACATTGATTCGGGATAAAGATACAGAACAAAGTTTTTCAAAATCAAAGTCTAAAAATTGTCGATTTATTGTATCTAAATATGGACACAATCGCGGAGCCTCCATCCTTTGCTTTGGTTCTTTATCATTCTCTGCAAAAGGAACAAATATTTAACAACTAGTAATAAGTTTCTCTCAATTTTAATACAACTGTTTTAACCTAAACTGATGAAAACATACAAATCTTTTTAAAGAACCATGAAACGCAGTAACCTAACCTCCAATATCTCACTTTCAGTTTTAATCTCGTAAAAGGACTAATATAAAAGATATGTTAGAAATAATTACAAATTTAACTCACTACTATTTTCATCTTCGGAATCGCTTCCATGGTCGACTAGTTTTCGTTTCAAAACATTTTCCTTTTTGGAAGTAGTCATGTTTACCTGTGTTTACCTTCTACCGAGGTAGTTTACAGTTGTTTATGTCGGACCCAAAACTCACACTTTTCTGTAATATTTTATTACTATTTTACGGACATTTACTACATTTACACATTCTATTTTACACCAGTTTTATAACTACTGATGTTAAGCGGGTTAAATGTGTCGTTGAATTACGACGAATGCGTCGTTGTGTAAACTGCATAGACGCCGTTTTATTCCAGCTTTACCGACGTTGAGAAACGGCATTTAACAACATTTAAGGTGAAGTGAAACAGAGATGAGTTAGGAAACAGAGATGAGTTGGGAGATTGCTCACGGGCAGGGTCGCGCGATCGC